CCGTAAAGTACGAATAGAGCAAAGTTGAGACTTTATAATTATGGTTATGGTAGATGCCGTAAAGTACGAATAGAGCAAAGTTGAGACTTTATAATTATGGTTATGGTAGATGCCGTAAAGTACGAATAGAGCAAACTTGAGACTTTATAATTATGGTTATGGTACATGCCGTAAAGTACGAATAGAGCAAAGTTGAGACTTTATAATTATAATTATGATAGATGCCGTAAAGTACGAATAGAGTAAACTTGAGACTTTATAATTATGGTTATGGTAGATGCCGTAAAGTACGAATAGAGCAAAGTTGAGACTTTATAATTATAATAGATGCCGTAAAGTACGAATAGAGCAAACTTGAGACTTTATAATTATGGTTATGATAGATGCCGTAAAGTAAGAATACACACATAAATAATCATTTATAAAAACTAAAAACACAGTATACTTGTCCTTATAAAATAACAGAGTATACTTTTTTTGTAAAATAACTTATTATATTTGTTCTTGTAAAATAACACAGCATACTTTTTTTTTTTGCAAAATATCACAGTATACTTTTCCTTGTAAAGTAACACAGTATACTTGTCTTTGTAAGGTAACACAGTATACTTGTCTTTGTAAAATAACCAGTATACTTGTCTTTGTAAACAACCAGTATACCTGTCCTTGTAAGGTAACACAGTATACTTTTCTTTGTAAAAAAAACAACCAGTATACTTGTCTTTGTAAACAACCAGTATACCTGTCCTTGTAAGGTAACACAGTATACTTTTCTTTGTAAAAAAACAAAACCCAGTATACTTGTCTTTGTAAAATAACCAGTATACTTGTCTTTGTAAACAACCAGTATACCTGTCCTTGTAAGGTAACACAGTATACTTTTCTTTGTAAAAAAAACAGTATACTGTCTTTGCAAAATAACCAGTATACTTGTCTTTGTAAATAACCAGTATACCTGTCTTTTTAAGGTAACACAGTAAACTTTTCTTTGTAAAAAACCAGTATACTTGTCTTTGTAAAATAACCAGTACACTTGTCTTTGTAAACAACCAGTATACCTGTCCTTGTTAAGTAACACAGTATCCTTGTCTTTGTAATATAACACAGTATACTTGTCCTAATAAAATAACCTAGCAATTTTTTCTTTCTAAAATAACACAATATGCTTTTTTGTAAAATAACACAATGTATTTGTCCTTGTAAAATAACACAATGTATTTGTCTAGGTAAAGTAGCATAGTACACTTGTCTTTGTAAAAAAACACAGTATACGTATCCTTGTAAAAGAGCACAGTATACTTGTCTTTGTAAAATACGACAGTACAATTGTCTTTGTAAAATAGCACAATTTTTTGTTGTTTTTGAAGTTAAGCTACACAATGGGCTATCTGTGCTTTGCCCACCACGGGTATTGACACCCGAATTATAGCGTTGTAAGTCCGCAGACTGTGCTACTGGGGGCTAGCAAGGTGTGCTTGTCCTTGTAAAATAACACAGTACAGTTGTTCTTGCAAAATAAGACAGCATACTTATCCTTATAAGAGAAAACAATATATTTGTTATAAGAGAAAGCGATATACTTATCGTTATAAAATAACCAATTATACTTGTATTTATGAAATAACACTGTAACTTGTCTTCATAACAAAATACACTCGAACTTAGAACATATCATTCTCACACTTACAACAGAACACAGCCGCTTCGTCGTGTTCAAAAATGAGCATCTGAAGCAGAAGAGAACGTATTTCGTCATGTTGTACTATGTCGCGCAGCGTATTGATGTCACCTTCTGACAGAAAGAAAATCACCAGCTTCATCTCAGTATAACTTCTAGTATCGTTCAAATGATAAATACATACAGCTCTAGGCGCGGATGTATAAGGGAAAATGATCAGGTGGCGACCAGTTGTAACAAAAGCAACGTCGTAAACATCTGTTTGTGATATTCTTAACTTTCTTTACAGGAATAAACTACACTAATAGTGTGAAATATTACACTTCTTCGTTCAATACGAAAACTAAAATTTAAAGTTAGGCTAGCCTTACTCTGACATTTGCAGTACCAGAAGCAACTCCATATTTGTTTTAACCAGGTCTGGTTTTAGGAAGAAGGTGGCTTAGGTAACTACCTAAGGTGACAAAATCAACAGATGTTTTTATATTAATCTTACTTCCTATAGAATGACTATCTCACGCTCTCTTTACATTCTTTTTCGTTTCTTACTGACCTTGAAACAATGTTCAAAGTCACGGACAGTGTAAGATAATCAACTTAAATATAAAATTAGAAAATTAGAACTTGTAGAAGTACTTCATGCCTTTGTAGCTAAAGAAAAACGACAAAAATATTTTTTTCTTCTGACTATAAATAGTGCAAAGTAAATGCACTATTTGATCTATCAATGATCTACTGGGGTACTCTAATGTTTAGAAGAACTTAGCTGAGTGTTATATAGAATAGTCTGCCTGCCTTGAGCTAAAAATAGCATTGTTGCATAGCATATTCAGAAACCAATAAATTAAACGTATACACGAAGATATGAGCATCTGTTTTAATTTTATCATCTAGATCAAGAAAAACGAGTTTAACACAACAGCGCCACCGAACATAGATGCATTTCTTTTTAGGTTTTAAACAGAGAGTCAAATATAAATAAATAAACAAACAACAAATAAATATTATCCCACATAACGGGACAGATAAATAAAACGAAGGTGTAACGAACAATGTGAGATTTGAGCAATTCGTCCACAGTGATAATGGTTTTATTAGAATCAACATACAAAAATAAGCACAGCCTCAGTTTATACGTAGTTTTATCACTAGCAGTTTTAAAACCCGAAACAATATTAACTTTATTCGACATCCACGTGCAAGATTCATTTACTTAAAGACGTAGTGCTAAAGAAAATCCACTCGCATGAACTTAATGCCCAACGTTACTCCAATGTTATGAAATGCATTAATGCAAAGTAGAAGAGAACTTATAATTCCCGAGTAAGGAACAATGCATTTGAATTACAATGTAAACCTCCACTCTAAGTTCATCTCTTACTCTTTCACTCAGAAACTAATGTTTTGTGAAATTAAATATAAATTACTTGGTTATTTACAGCAAAGACGTTAAACTACCGCCCGGCATGGCCAGGTGGTTAGAGAGCTCGACTCGCAATCTGCGGGTCGCGAGTTTGAATCCCCGTCCCCTTTCAGCCGTGGGGGCGTTATAATGTGACGGTCATTCCCACTATTCGTTGGTA